TCACAAGCGGTCAGTCTGATAGCTGACAAGGTACAAGAACTGCAACTCTGCTACCCTGAAGCCCCCGTTATAGTGCTTGGAGATTTTAATCGGCACAATTTGGAACAAGCGCTGTCAGGATTTGAACAATATGTTAAGCTAGGAACAAGAAAAGATAATATTTTGTACAAGTGCTTTGTGAATGTCAAGAATGCCTATGTATCTAAATGTAGACCACCAGTACTGAATTCTGATCACAATGTGATGTACATGATTCCAGTACACAAAACAAAGTTAAAACGGGGAAAACTGGAAAAGAAAGTAATCAGAGTATGGTCAGATGAAATTAGAGAGAACTTAAGAGCTTGTTTTGATTGTACAAACTGGGAAATTTTCCATGATGGAACATTAGATGAAAGAACTGAAGTAATCAATGACTATATTAACTTTTGTGTGCAACTGGTAATACCCACAAAGAATATTAAAGTATATCCAAACAATAAATCTTATGTCACCAAGGATATTAAGGAAATTATAAATAGACGAAATGTAGCATTTAGAAATAAAGATCCTAAAGAACTGAAAGAGACTGAAAAATAATTAAAAAGTCAAATGAGGAAAGCTAAAGAAGCTCACAGACAGTGCTTAGAAGAAGCCTTTAAACCCCAAAACAATAAGAAAGTCTGGGATACCATGAACAAGATGACAGGTTTATCCTCTCCAAACAAATGTATTGTAACAGACAATGAAGTCAGCTTTGCTAATGAACTAAATACATTTTTTACAAGATTTGAACCCACAAGCAACAATGAACCAGTTAACATCGTATCGTCTTCCTCCCAAAAGATAGTGATCGATGTTGCGGAAGTTAGGAAGACATTTCAGTCTGTTAATACTAGAAAAGCTGTTGGTCCGGATGGGTGTGCTCCGAACCTCAATTTTACTTATAATAAACACTTGCTGCTGTCAAAAGAATGAGCTCTTATTCAGTGTATAAAGTGAATAATATCACGTTAAGCATTTTCTCCCCCATAGAAGTCCATTATAAGGACACAGCTTAACGTGGCTTAACGTACCTTAACAACGACCGGTGAAACCCAAACTTCTGTCAAATTTGCGTCCACGTTAAGTTGTTTCCTTATAATGGACTTCTATGGGGGAGAAAATGCTTAACGTGATATTATTCACTTTGTGTGTGGAATAAGGGCTCGTTCTTTTGACAGTAGTTAGTGTTTATTACAAGTAAGGTTTGACAGAAATGTGGGTTTCCCTGGTCGGTGTTTAGATACGTTAAGCTTTCTGGATGTCCCTCTCCGGGGACAGTCATTGTTTGTATCCGTTATGGAATAACTTACGCTCAAACAAAGGCATCTTGTTAGTAAAAAGCAACATGGTTTTGTAGCATACTGTCACAAACGAGACTCCCGCTGCGCCTCCTGCTCACCACCAGAGGGAACTCTCTCCTGAGTTTTCAACTTTAATCCGGTATACACTAGAGATGTAACGGAGTGAACATTTCCTATCACGATTACAGTGACCAACGTTATCACGATTATCAATATTATCACGGTTTTGTTCAAATGAGATGAAAACGTTCAAAAAGAACTGATTCACACTGAAAACATTTCAATAAGTTTTATATTTGAAAATCAACAAACAACAAATACAATTAGCAGCTCTATGCACTTTTTTTTTAGCAAAAACCTTAAATTAACATTAACATGAAGCCCTAATAATAATAATAATAATAAATCACTTGTATATATATACACTCACACAAAAACAAACAAACAAAAAATATATATATATATACAATGTGATTTCCGTTAGTGATCATGTGATCTTCGGTTAGGAGATCTTGTGATGCCATCTAGAGCAAAAAACAACAACAACAACACTGCTTGCTGCTTCTGCTTCAGACTGATGCTGGCTGGACAGGATTTACCGCGAGTTTTCAAAAGCGCGATAATCAAATACGGTTTTGATGATAATTAAATTTGAAACGATAATACTAACCGTCAGGGCATTTTATCGTGATGTATCGTGAAACCGGTAATCGTTACATCCCTAGTATACACACATACACTTACACACACACACACATACCTGGCTCTGATTGCCCTGCACCTGATCACCATTAGGTGACTATTTAAACAGCTCTCAGACTCGTCCTCTTTGCGAAGTCTTGTATTGCCCCGGTGTACATTTCTGAGCATTTCTTTCCGTGTCTGGCCTCTCTGTGTATTACCTGAACTGCTTCTCTCCTTCTGATTGCCTGCCGCCTGCCCCGAACTCTTGCTATTGTTTTACTGACCACTAATTGTTTGCTGCCTGCCCCGACCCTTTGCACGCCCCTGGATTACGATTTGACTACTCTCCTCTGTTGTGTTTGCTGGTGTTTGACTTTGCCTGTTGATTACGATTTCTAATAAACTGCAGATGGATCCTCACTCTGTTGACGCCTCGTTACACATACAGTGTCACAAACAGAATGAGACCATCTACTAAAAAAAGTAAAAGATACGCGGAATCTTGTTTATTTGAATTCTGACGCTCTCTTGTGACGGCTCATGACGCACACTGTGACGCACCTGTCATCTGATGGGGACGTAACTTAGCGATCTGCTTTTGCACAAATAAATCTTTTTTTTTTTCAACATTTTTCATATACTGTATGTGTGTGTGTTTTGTGGGGAATGTGGCTGTATCTGCATGATTAGCATCTGTATGAACGGCCATCAGCGTGTGATTACTGACTGTATGAGCAGCAATCAGTGTGAATGCTGTATGTCTGGCAATCACAGGATGTACTTGGCATACATAGTTAATTATTTTTTTCTTATTTCTTTTTATTATTCAAAAATTTTTCATTCTTATTGTATTTTTCTAGTGCTCAAATAAACCACTTATACAATGTCTAAGAGTATGTCTATTGTTTTATAACTGAAAAATGCGGGGACTAGACATAGTCTCAGAAAAATGGTTGTAGGGATCTCATTTTTCATGGTATCTTCTTCAGATTTGAAATAGAAACTCATGAGACATGTGACTTTCAACCCATTACTTTTCTGGATTGCTCCAGGACTGATTTCATGTATTTTTATATGAAATAAAAAAAATTCACTGTGGTACAATTTTTTTCAAGGCACTTCAGTGTCTATAACTTTTTATCTTTTTGAGCATTATCAACTCTGGATGATGGATAGTAAATTGTGTGTGTAGCATTGACCTACCATTTTAAGTTAGGTAGGTCGTTTTCAGGTTAACAGGTTAATCATTCTCTGCTGAGATCACGAAAGATTTAATGTCTTTTGTATTTCAGTTGATTTCATCGAAGGCTGTGTCTGGAAGTCAGTTGTATGTTTGGAGAAGGTTCTTATAACAAAAAGCTGTTAGCTGAGTGTGCACTTGCGCTGTGATATCACTGTGATAGTGTTGAGAAACAGGATATAGAAAGCCTCCTCGGTGACCGATATTTGAACTGCCTCCTCTCAACCTGCTCAACATTTTGAATTCACAATGAGCTCACATATTACTCACACTGTGAGTATC